TGGTTAAAATATCCATAACATAAAATTTATCATTTCATCCATTAGGTATACAGTTTAGTAGTATATAACCATCACTACCAACTGTTATATAACCATCACTACCATCCATTCATAATGTAGTTTTAAAACACTCAAGACAATGTTATATATTGTTCATGGATGTATACTTATGTGTAAAGTGTAAAAGCACACATTCTAATAAGAATAAATTTGGAGTTGTGGCTATCTCAGGGTAGGAGGAAGAATACACAAGGGGCTCCAGTTAGCTCTGCATGGTAGATAGGTATACATGTGCTCATGTATTATCATCTAGAGTTTTTTGTACACTTGGAGTATTTTCTTTAAAAAATTGATTTTTTAAAAAATCATTTCAACTAGACATCTCCAGGTGTTTTCTAGCCATTGACTTTTTCAGTATTCTGGAATGTTCAATTCTAAGAAACATAGTGGTACCAAGATCCAAGAGGTGAGATTACTCCCTGTTGAGAACAGTTAACTTTACAAAGAGAATCTCTTCCAAATTCAGCATTCTAACCCCAGCCTGTCATCTCAAGTGTACCCTTGGTCCCAAGTGGCAGAGGTTATAGGTGTGATGCCTAAAGGTCTGAGAGAATGACTCTACAAAGAAAAGAAATAAAAAAGAGAGCAAGTTTTTGAAGGTGAAAATAAGTTTCATTTTTAGGTTTGAAGTGATAGACACCAGAGGACATATACACTAATGGAATTTAGAGAGAAGAGGTAAGAGCTTGGAGGAAGGTCAGAACTAGAGCTATACATTTTGGAAATTGTAATGGATACCGTGAGAATGAATGAGTTTGCCAAAGGATGAAGAATAAAGAAAGAACGAAGTTTGAAACAGAATCTTGGGGAGACAGGATTAAAGAAGAACCAGTGAAAGATGAAAAGGAATAGGTAGAAGGACCAGTCATTGGGGAAAGAAGAGATCAGCAGAGTGATGTTCTACAGATATTAAGGCAGGAAAATTTGACAAGGATTTGTTCAGATTAATCCAATATTTGTTGAATGACTTGTGGTAATCACTTTCTTGTGTAGCAGAGGAGTCCTAAGAATGAGAACTGAGTAAAAGCCATTGGATTTGATGGTTAAGGTTTAGTTACCATGTTGCTATAACTATTCTTTTTGTCTATAAACTCTTTAAAGACAGGAATTCTGTTTTATTTATCATTTTAATCTCAATGTCTGGCACAGTACCTGGCACATTAAGTACTCAGTAGCAAATCTGTGAACTACTAAACTGAGTATAAACTGCACAGATTTCTCCTAGGATATAAAACATATTTTACCATCTAGCCTGTCTGTTCCATTGCTCTCCAATCCCCTCTCCTACCTTTGAAAATAGTATTTTGTACTTTTTCAGTGCTGCTTTGATTCTAGTCTGCAACTGCTTTTTCCAAAACTTTTTTAAAAATCAATTTTAATGTTTCAGTACTTCTTGCCACATCATGATTCATTTAGTGTTGCTTTTTGAAACCCTGTATTATACTTCTTTTCTTACTCCCATTATTCATTCATTAATTCAATATAAAGAAGACAGTTCTAACAGTCAGAGCTGTACAGAGGTGGCCAGGGCTTCCAGGGGGCCAGGGGGAGTGGAGTACTGAGTTTCCTGTTCAATGATATTCAGCAGAATCAGGACCACAACTTAAGGGAAGTGAGGGTTAGGGTTTGAACAAAAGTAGTTAGAGTAGGTGACTCTTTCAAAAAATTTCAACTTCGTTGGGATATAATTCACACGTCATGCAGTTTACCTATTTAAAGTGCACAATCAGTGGTTTTTAATATAGTCACAAAGTTGTACAACCATCAGAATCAGTTTGCTATTCTGAATCTCATTCCCTCCTTCAGTGATGACTCCTATCCTCTTTTTTTTCCTTTTTGCATTCTTTCAGTACTTAGACATTTGGTCTGTCTAGTAATAAGATCCATGATACCCTGTTCCTTTTTTGCTGTTTTGGATATACTACTTTTTTAAAAGCATCGTTTGATGGGGGAACCATCGTTTCTGTTTCATTTATGGTTCTCCTCCTTTCCTACCCATAGCACAGAGTGCTGAACATAACAGCTGTCCAATAAATATTCTTGGATGACAGATCTATAAAAGTTTTGGGGGGAAATGTGTGATGTTTAGCATCATCATCATTTTTCAATTTTAGAAATGCAAACTAATGCCTTTTGTGCCATTACTTGGTTTGAATTTTTTATATCTTGTTTTATGCCAAGTATTTAAAACAGTCTTCTCAGTACAGTAAAATGAAATTCAACAAGATATTAATACAGATATTAAATCTAGTATATTGAACACTAGATAAATCAGATTCTCTCACAAGAAAGGCTAGCTTCTCGGATGTTGGCTAGGCATTTGTTCAAAGTGCATTATAGCCTTAGAGCTAGTATGATATTAAGATCTTTGACAATTTGGTAGCAAAATAAGTCACCAGCACCCAAACAAAGTAGTAGTGACCTGGTTTCCTTCTTCTGCTGTCTGAAGCTGTGCTTCTGTTGCTGCCCTACTCTTAAAAAGAAGCATTTCTTCTCATAATTTCCATGTCATTTGAAGTCAGTATCAGGAGGGAAAGGAGGATTGTTGGAGTGGAGCTTGGCTGGGAGAGGACGCAAGGCAGAAGGCAGCTCCCTGGCGCAGACCCTGGCTGTCTCACTCCCTGCCTGCCCTCCCAGCATCTTACCTCAGGAGCAGAGAGTTGACTTAAAGATGGTTCTCAGTTCATAGCACCTGATTAACATCACAGTGCAAGGTTGCTTTCTTATTTTATTTTCTTTTTAACCCTTTATCTTCAATCCACATGCCCATTCCTTTCCCCATTCACGTGCACCCACTCTAATGTGTTTGTTTTATGTTCTTAGACCTACACATTTGTTTGAAAGACACATAATATAATTATGTGTCTTTAGCTTACATATGGTATTTGCTTATTTTTTTTACTCACTGCTGTACTTCTCAAGATATATTCCTATTGCTGAAGGTACATATAAAGTGTGTTTTCTGAAAGCTATGTAGAATTCCATAATTGTATCTTCTCCATTTTGACTTTCCATTCTCTCAGGTATGGAGGTTACTTCAGGCTCCCTGCTACAACATCATCACAGTGAACATTCCCACACAGGTCTCTAAAGTCTATAGCTCGCATTTAGGATATAGGTAGCTTTGTTTGAGAATTTCTCCGGAATTTATACACCAGAGTGGGATCACTGGATCATAGGGCATAGATATACTGAATGTCACTCAGTACAGCTAGATCACTTAGCAGAATGGCTGTATCTGTCTACAGTCTTACCCACTGTAAGAGAGTTCTTGCCTCCCTACATCTTTGCCAGCGCCTGCTATTACCCACCATTCCAATCTTTGCCCTTCTGATAGGTATAAGTGCTATCTCATTGTTTTAACTGGTATTTTTCTTGTTGGTTTTACTTTGAATTTGATCATCTCTTTATATACTTGTTAACCATACTAGTTCATAGCTACTCATGTCTTTTGGCCATTTTTCTATTGGGTCTCCTGTAATGTTCATATCAAATAGTGGGAGTTTCTTATCTATTCTAGAGATTTAATCCCTTGTCAATTTTAGATGTTGCAAAAGCTTCCCTTGTCTGTCCTCTATCTTCACACTATTCATGGTATTCTTCATTGAACAGAAGTCCACAGTTTTTTTGAGGTCAAATCCAACAATTTTTCACTGTATCATTTGTATTTTTAGAGTCTGATTCATAAATTCTTTCTGCTTCTTCGTGTTTTTCTTTATTATCTCCCAGTGGTTTTTCCATGCAAGCCTGTTTACATAGCCTTTTGAAGAGGTATCTTTCCTTTTTTTCTCACCTATGACTCTCAGGAGACTTGGCAGCTGGTGTTAATGTTTGGCTGCTCCTGGTGGAGGAGAAAAATGTAAGAAAATTGATGCATCCTCCTTTCTCTAAGCCCTACACTTCCACAAATAGGGATGAGTCCCTGTGACCCTAATTGTACTCCATGAATCTTGTCTACTCAGCTCCAGCTGATTGGAAAGTGCTGTATACCTACCCAAGCTGAGTACTCAAGATCTTCCTGCAAGGAATTTGAAATTAAGACCAGTCTCCATTGTCCTCTTGAAGGACATGCAAATTGAGGGGTTTGGGGGTGAACATCTTCCTGCATGTTCAAAAAGAAGCAGGAGCAATTCTTTGCAGAGGAATGAGAATGAGGAAGATATGCACAGAATAACAAGGAAAAGCCTTATGGCCCTCTTATAGAGAGGGAGAAAGATTGAGATAGAAAGTGAGGGTAGCTGTCTTGGACCCTAATGGTGTTCCAGTTTCTGGTTGTATTCTCTTCTGAGACCAGATTGCATTTCCTCATCTGTATTAGTTAGAGGTGGCTAACTGCTCTAACAGATAGACTTCAAAGCGTATAATGGCCCTAGCAAAATAGAAGTTTATTTCTCACTCACATAAACAGGTCCAGATGGTTCTGAGTTGGTAGGGTGGCAGCAGTGGAGGGCTCTGTGCCACACAGTTATTCAGGATTCCAGGTTGATGGAGGCTCTGCCTTTTTCAACATATGTCCTCCAAGGTCTCCCTGGGTGCCAGCATCCAGCCTGCAGAAAGGAAATGAACATGGAGTTCAATACATAGGAAGCTTCATAGGCCAGGCCTTGAACCAGCACCTGTCATTCACATTCCTTTAGCTAGAACTCAGTTACATGATCCCATTTAACTGAATGGAAGCTGAAAAATGTCATCTACCTGTGGTCTCAAAAGGAAGTGAAGATGGGTTTGGTGAACAGCTAGAGATTGCTACATCGTATTTATTTTCTGTGAGGTAACTCTTGTGATGCCTCTATAGCCTTGTAATTGAGTTCTTAAATTTTTTAAACTTGTTTGAATTGGCTCCTATTTGTCTCAGTGCATGAGGTGTTTTCGTGATAGGCATATTTAAAATGGTAGAGGAAATGATTAATGATTAAGACTGATTAATTTGTTTTCTCAGGGAAGTTGGGTCGATTTCCGCCGATGATGCATCATCACCAGGCACCCTCAGATGGCCAGACTCCTGGGGCTCGTTTCCAGAGGTCTCACCTTGCAGAGGCCTTTGCAAAAGCCAAAGGATCAGGTGGAGGCACTGGAGGAGGAGGTAGTGGAAGAGGCCTGATGGGGCAGATTATTCCAATCTATGGTTTTGGGATTTTTTTATACATACTGTATATTCTATTTAAGGTAAGTGGAATCATCCTGGTCATGTTACATCAATGAAAATCTAATATCATCATAATAAAAATCATTGTCAGCATTAAAACTCTTTACAGTTCATAACCCTTTTTCAAACCCATCATCTCTTTAAACCTTGCCTCCTTTTTATGAGGTACTTAAGATAGCTGTTATCTCAGTTTTACAGATGGGAAAATTTTTGCTCAGAGCCTAAACAATTTGCCCCAGAATTCACAGCTAAAAATTCAGAATCAGGACTTGAACCCGAATCTCCTAGTTCCTAATCCATTGAGCAATAAGTAATAAAGTTCAACACCTCCCCTCCCTGCACCCTGCCCACGCACCCCCCCCTTTTTTTGACTGGGCATCTTTGCAAGCTGTAAAGGCACAAAGATGTTCTAAGAAGTCCTTTATTATTAGGATTGGCACAGTGATTTCCAAGTAGCCACTGCGAGGCCAAATAATGACTGTACCAACACTACTTTTTCCTTCTTTTACCCCCAAGAGTATGAGGTGCTGTTTTTAAAATCAGTTGCAGTAATTGGCAGTTCTGAAACAGAACTGCCACGTCCTGAAACTAAGCCTGATATTGCCTAGCTCTGGGTAGACATGGTTTGGGTCCTTTAAATGCAGACTTCCAGTTAAGTTCCACCTCCAGGCAGGCTTTGGTCGGCCATGAGGCTGGGCGCCGTAAGTGGAGGCAGGAGATTCACTTGTCCTCCTAACAAAAGTAAGAGGTGGAATTCTTCAGGCAGCCCAAGCTAAATCTTAGGTGAACAGGGGATGGCAGATGTCCTGTAAAGAGATTTTTTTCCTTGTGTCTCAATAATTTTTTACTTGGAAACCTTCTATTGGGTGGTTTTTGTTTTGTTTTGTTTTGTTCAGGTGTTTCTCTAATATTATTTCATTTGATTTCTCCCAACCTTTTTTTTCCTTCATTTACTATGAGGGGTTCCATGACTTTGAGGTTCTGAGCTGCTGTTGATGTGCTGTACCTCCTTCAATTCTCAGCTCTCAAAGGGGAAAAGTACTGCAGAGGATCGGAAATGCTCTCCTGCCACACCTGGAAACACCCACAGGAAAATTAGTAAGTGCCTCTTCAGCATATTCATAAGTTTCATTGAGTTAGACAGCCATACAGCTGGAGGGACAATCTGTGGACGGGTCTTAAAAGCATTTCTCAAAAGTGGTCCCAGACAAATCTGATGCCATTTTTACCTTAGCTCTGGTAGTCTCAGAAGTTTCCATATTGATATTAGGCTTTTAAAGGAAGGAGAGTTGTAAAAAGTACAAAACCACCAGTTTACTTTTTTATATATTAGCAAATTAATATTTACATTTGAAATGGGTTACTTCTCACTTCCAGACTTCAGAATATGGGAGGAAATTTCACATAGAGGAAAACTGAGACAGTGAGATCAAGTCATTGCCAGAGTCAGTTATTAGATCTACGGACAGAGTTGAACACTTCTGACTCTTAAAATGTGATCATCAGATACTTATTGACCAATTAGAATATTCTCTCTGGAGAAATGAAACGTTAATGGCACGGCTCTTCCCTCTGAGAATTTATAGTCTAAAAATGGATGTCAGGAAAAACCACTTGTGAAAAGTTTACTACCTAGAAAGAAGGGACTTGGCAAAAGCCTTGTGGGAAATCACGTCTTGCTGGGTGGCTGTGGTGGAGGGCCTGTTAGATAGGGCGCTTGAGGAAGATGCAGCCCGACACGGGGCAGCTGTGGGAAAGAAGGCATGAAGGGTAGGTAGGTTAAGCCATATTGTTGCAGGCCTCGAGGGTCAAACTATCCTGTAGATACTGAAGCCTCATTAGAGGTTTTTAAAAGAAAGACATCAGCAAAATGAAGTAAGGCTGGGCCACTGAAGCATCTGCCCTCGGCCATAATTGCTTTTGTATTTCTGGATTTAGTCTGGATTCTCTTTGGAAATAGATATCCCAGTCACATCTACATCCTGAAATCTTAAATGTTCAGATTTAAGCGACTGATCCCAGCTGTATTCTTAACTGAGATAGTGTCTAACCAAAAGTGATGGTGAATATGTCATAAAAATCTTTTTTTAAAGATTTGTGAACTCTTTAAAGAGTAGCGAATTCTGTATCCTGTCACGTAATGCATTTAAAATAGAAGTAAATAAAATGAATTCCTAAGAGTAGCCATTTTATAATGTAGTAGCAGTTATGTCAGCTTCTTATGCTTCAATTTTGAATTATATGGAAAATAAATACAACCTAAGCGTTTATGTGGCACAGATGTTAACTGCATGCATAAGAATTTTTTGTAGAAGTAGTAAAAGGCCTTTGAAATATTACATTTTATGATGACCCTCTAAATATATGTGTAGAATGATACTCAGGTAGGAAACAGAATAACTAAATTATCTACATAATGAACAACATTTAATTTTCCTATTGCTTTAAAGTTCATTTCTTGTACTGAATGAGTGATTTACTTTTTATGCTCTACTTTTAGAGTCTTAACATTAGTTTCAATAGATAGATATGCTCCTTACTGACCCTTGTTGAGGGAACTGCTTCTGGAAGGCAGGGTTACACCACTTCACCCCAGATGACTGAAGTAGAAGACCGTGGGCGGGAAGGTCTCAGCCCTAGTTCAAGACTTCTTCTATTGAAGAAGAGTAACTTTCAAACAATTATCTTTCATATATGTTTTCAAATCTTCTGTAGCTGTAAAATATTGCTCATTTCAGGGTCGTAACTCCTTTTCTGAAGTCCCTTATGGTTTGGTACTTTATCCTGAAGCATCATTTAAATTAGAAATGATATGTTGATCTTCATTTCTTTTTGGCTGACCGTGTAAGGCTGTTTTTCTCTACTAGGTGTTTTCTTTGGCTGGTCCTGCTGTATTTCTGTGTGTAAGAGAGAGTGATTTATTCATCACTCACTCAACGTGTATTCTTAGATCTTGGTGCCTAGACCTCTGGACCCTTTCTTTGTGTCCTGATTGAATTAACCGGAGGACTCTCAGTCTCTTCTCTGAGTCTTAGGCCAGCCTGGATTATTGTAGTGTCACAGCAAGCCGAGCTTCAGAAAAGAGTTTACAGAATTGTATATGATGGTTCTTAGATCGATGCTTATTTTTCAGCCAATTTTGAGCTTGTTCAACTGCAAGAAAAACTGAAGGAGACAGAGGAAGCCATGGAAAAATTAATCAACAGAGTGGGGCCTAACGGTGAGAGGTAGGTTTTGGCATAACAGGAATCAGACTGTTTCCCATTTAGAGAATCAATTCAAAAATTTGTTTTTCTTTGATTTCTGGCCCACTTACTTTCATTTTATGTAATTGTCAACATATTTGTCATTTACATATTATTTTTCACTTAACATTTCCATTTTCATGCTATCAAGCAATCTCATTTTGAAGAGTATGTTCAGCATTTTGCATATTATTGGGTGCGTGAGTAAATTTGTGAGCAGAACCTACAGGGTAAAAGAACTAGGTTTTAAGAAAGACAGTTTCCTAGCTGGCTAAAAAGGGCATAATTTTAAGTAAAACCAGATTATTAAATATTATGCTTTCTTCTTGAGACAAAATGAGAGAAGAGAGCTAATGTGATCACAGTAGGCATTTGTTTCATGTTGGCTGTGCCAGAACTGAATTAGACATGTCAATAGGTGTCAGGAGCAACACTAGCCCTTTAGGATGCCCTGCAGTGAAGGCATTCTTCTCTTGCTGCAGGGCTGCTGAGGGTCTGAAAAGGTGGCTTCCAGAGATTGATAGAAAGTGAGCATCAACTAAGAAAACATGGGTGTTGGAAGGCCAGGGAAGAGAAACTAGAATGTGAGATTAAGAACAAAGAGGGATTCACTTTGAGCTCGGCCTTCTGACCAGAATGGAGGAAGAACTGGGAGTGAGTGGCAGAATCCCATGCAGGAGGATGCATTGAAAGGTCCCTCTTACAACCTCATGTGGAGTTTTTGCCTCAGAAAACTGCTCTTGGCCTCTTCTGTTTACCATCCTTGGTGGTACTAGTGCCCCATACTCTCTTCCCTGCTTCCTGGCTCCTGCCTTGCCCATCTTTGGCTGGGTAGGAGAAGAGTAAACATCCTCGAATTGCAGCCTCTTGGCTTGGCTTTTCCTTGCATTTCTGTTGAAATGACATTTATGGGGATGAACCTTGCCTATCTGGGCCCAGGACCCTTGACTTTCTTTTGGTCCAGAAAGCAGAGTGACTGTTTGGACTATTCCCAAGTGGTAGAGATAAGGGTGAATATCTATACGTGAGTATACCTGTGTGAGCAGAGAATACTATTGGGTATTTATTGAGCACTTACTAGGAACCAAGCTTTGAGCCAAATGCTTTATCTACATTATCTGGTATTTGAGTGTTTTGTATGAGTGTGACTAAACCAGTTTGTGCAACTATACTTTTCTGGCCTTTTCTGCCCTTACCCTGTACCCCTCACAGTCTGGGTGGGGAAGTACCAGACTTTTATAGACCCCAATGCCTCACAAAATACCTGTACCCTGGACCTGGTCTATTTGAAGCTCTAGGCCACACCTAAGGGTCGTGAAAACTATAGATGAATATCTGTGGGCAGGGCCTCTCACCTGGGAGACCCAACCCCTGGGCCTTGGGGTAAGAAATAAGAAACCACATGAAGATATTTTCTCACTATTATTCACTGCCATTCAGACTCCCTTAGCTCAAATCAAATAACCCCACCACGCACACCATCTTTCCATTGCCCAAGCTAGGGATGCAGCACTGTGACCCCTAACTACTGTTTGTCCTCTTTGTGCCAGGATTGCTTCTCCGCATTGTATGTGCAAGGGCAGAGGAGCTGTGTGTCCCCTCCACCACCCCACACCATCACTGCAGCTGGAGTTGTGCCATCTCACTGTTTCTGGGGCCACAGATCCTAGCTCGGATTATTTATTTACTCCTTGTAAGACGCCAGAGTGTAGACTCTTTGAGAATATACAGATTCCAGACTGCCGCATGGCAATGACTGTGTAAAACGTTTTCCCCGGTACCTCTCAGGAACCGGAGAGCCGCTCTTCTTCCACTGCGGAGAGCAGAGCTTGTGTCTTTCTTTCCCAGGTCTCATTTTCCAGGCCATAAGGATGTGCCTTTCTCTCTGAAAAGCCTTAATCTAAAACCTTTTATCCTTATAGGTAGGCCCTCTGGGACTTCCGCCTTCAAAACTGCAAGGGCTAGGTAGCTGCATGTTTTACATTCTTTTCCTTTTTATACTTAAATCCTTTAACCTTAGTTTCTGTGGCATTTGTTCTTTTACAAGTCTGTGCTTCTAGGATTATTAGAAGAGCCCAAAATACTCCTGTATTTTTTCTGTCAGATCAAGATTTTATCACATCTCCAGGCTTCTGGGGGTCAGGGAGAGGATTTCAGACAAAGAAGACATGTTCGTTTACAGCCTTCAAAGTCCTTTTATATAATGTCACTCCATAACTGTAAGACTTTGCTTAAAATTCCAGAAGTATACAGTTACTGAAACTTCATCTTAATGTTTATGTAAGACTCAAAATATGAAAAAAAAGAATCAAAATATGGGAAAGATTTTTGATATTACCTAATGAAACTTTTCAGACAGCTTTCACCTGTGAACAATGTAAGTCTGCACACATTTTTAAATAATTAAGCCTCCTGGAAGGTCGGTATTGTGCCAGGGTTTGTCTAATATTAAGCACATTCTCTAGCCCAAGGATACAAAGGCTAAGGAAAGGATCTAGGAATCAGAATTGAGGTGCCCTCATTTCTGTCCTTGTGATCAGCACAATTTCCTTCCTGGAGCAGCATGTCCAGCTGTAATTACCTAGAAGCATGGCATAGACGAAGAGGAGAAGCGAGGGTGCAAACATGTTGGCAGGCATGTTGAGTGTGTGTGTGGGACTGTAGATTTCTGGCATCATTGTTGGGATATAAACTCTTTGAGGACAGGCTTAGTCTGTTTTTTTCACTGTGTTCACTTAGTAGGTACTAAGTAAATATTATTGGAAAAGAGTAGATACTCACTTGTGATACAAGCATGTGTACATATATTATCACGGTGGAAGAGTAAATCATGATTATTCCGTGTTGAGCTTCTCTTCATTTCCTAAACTCTGTGTTCAGGGTCCTACTAGACATGTCTCATAGATACCTCCCCTTATCCTCATCAAACAATAAATGTCTTTTGAGTGAGTGAGTGTCCAAAATGGAACTCATCATCTACCCGCGGATGAACCTGTACTTCCTTTAATGTTCCACATCTCGGCAAACGGCTCCACCATCTACTTAGTTGTCCAAAGCAGAAATTTAGATGTCATCTTTGATTCACCTTTTCCTTCATTTCCCATGTCTCATCAATCACCATGTCTTGCCGTTTCTTCCTAATTAATAGGTCTGTGTCCCTGCAAATGACTTTAAACTCTACTAGGCAGGGATTATCCTCCTTTTTCCCAGAGCCTAGCATAGGCCAGTAGTAGCCTTTAGAAAAATCTTAGTTGAAATGGAAGAATAAGTGGGTGAGTGGAGTATGCCTTTACTTTTGACATAGGTCAGAACTATCTCATGTAGTTTCTTTTTCTCTAATATTGCCTCCTTCTAGTTTACTTTCTGCTTTCCAACCCAGTGGGTTACATCTTTTGTTTTAACCCTTCAGTAGGTCCCTGTTGCTCTTGAGGAAGTGCAGAATCTTTAATAGGACTTGCATGGTCCTGGGTGACGTGGCTCTGCATACTTCAGTTGCTTTAATAACCTTTTCCATTCTTTTCTGTCTGTGGTCCAGCCACACTGACTGCTTGCTGTTTGTTCCTCGGAGGAACTGTGCACTTTTGCTTCTAGGACTTTACGTATACTTTTTTCCTTTGCTTGGGTGTCCCCCCCAACCCCTCCCCACACACACTTATTTTAACTCTTGCTTGTCTTAAAGTCTCAACTTAGACATCATTTCCTCCGAGAGCCTTTCCCTGAACCCACAGCTTGGTTAGGTGTTCCTCCTATGTGCTCTCAGGCCACCTGCTTCTGCTGGATATTGTAAGCATATAACTTCCTTATCTTCTGTTAACTTTTCTGTCTTCCCTAATGCCCTGTAACCTTCTTGAGGATAGGGAATTTTCATTGTTGAAATCTGCATTCCTAAGTGCTGGCACACTGGCAGTGTCTGTACATGTTGAAGGAATGAGTGAGGTAGATGTAAAGAAACTACTTTAAAGCAGGCATTTTCAGCAATAATAAGAATATTTTGGTACCTATTTTGATTTGTTCTGCACAGCCCTAGATGGTTGTCAGTGGCAGGTGTTTTCTCTATAAGGAATTGATCTCAGAGAGAAAATACATGCTCTAGGAAGATGTTTTCTATGGCTGCTGTAACAGATGACCCCTAACTTGATGCCTAAAACAACACACATTTGTTATCTTACAGTTCTGTATATTGGAAAGTCCTACCCTGGACTAAAATCAAAGTGTTGGCAGGACTGCATTCCCTTCTGGAGGCTCTGGGGTAAAACCTATTTCCTTGCCTTTTTCAGATTTTCGAAGCTACCACATTCCTTGACTCATGGGCTTTCCTCCACTTTCAAAGCAACAGTGGGTTGAGACTCTCACATCGTATTATTTTAGCCTCTTCTGCCTCCCCGCACTGCTTTTAAGGACCTTCATAATTGTATTGTGTCCTCCCAAATAGCCCAGGATCATCTATTTGCAATCTTTATTCCATTTGCAGCCTGAAGCCCCCTATGTGTGAGGCAACGTCATTATAGGTTCCAGGGTTTTGGATGTGGACATCTTTGGAGGGTGGGGAGGGGATGTTACTCTGCCTACCACAGAAGGTCTAAGGGAAAGGGAGAATTTGAATAAGCCTTACAGGAGGGAAGGATTCCCTCAGGCAGAGTTTGGGGAAAAATGTTTCAGAGGGAGGGGCTGGCACCAGCAGCAAACAAGGTGAGAGAATCAAGGCATGTTTTTTGGAATAGCAGGTCATTCTGAGTAACTGGAGTGAAGTACACCAGGGCTGTGGTAGATGGGAGGCAACTGATGGGAGAGAAAACGAGACAAGTAAACGGGGCCAGACTGGAAGGCCCTGAATGGTAGGCTGAGAAATTGGAATTCATTGTCTTTACAGTAGAGGGCCTCTGAAGGCTTTTGAGGAGAAAGGCCATGATCTGCTGTGCTTTAGAAGAGTAAATCTTATGTAAAGTGCTATATGCTAGGATATTGAAAGAGTTCTAGCAAAGGTAGTAAACAGGCCGGGAGAGAGGAAAATAGGTGGGGGGCAAATTAAGGGAACTTCAAGGAGGAGGAAAAATCATAGGCTGTATCAGGATTCCTTGGATGCAAGCAGCCACCTCTGGGTAGCAAAAATTTGGAGGGCACAGCAGAATTTGTTGGAAGAGTATGGGGTAGCTTACAATATCAAAAGAATAGCTGAAGATTAAGTGTTAGCAAGAAGAGTGGGAACCAGAGTAGGTATGAGTATTTAGGGAATAGGAACAAATGGGCAGTCTCTTCAAGGACTGCTGCCAGGATGAATTAATGTGAAAAATCTTCAGTTCGGGCTTCACTGTGCTCAAGATCCAGTTTTAGAAAGTATAGTTGGCCCAACTCGGGTCATATATTACTGAATATCACTGAATCAGTCACTGCAGCCAAAGGGATGGAGTGTGATGGTTGGCCATGGGCTACGTGGCCATCCTTGAAAGAGAAGTCAGGGGACGGATGGCTTTAACATCTACACCATGAGCAGAAGAGGGATTGGTTTTCCAAAAGAAGACTAACTAGATAAGAGAAACAAAGGAGAAGAGAGAGATGATTTGGAGATTTACAGCCCAAACTAGAAGGAAGATTATGGGATCAACCAAAATAAAAGCACAGAATGATGGTAAGGTGTTGGGATAGGATCATGAGTTCAGCTTTGAATGTGGTTGAAGTGCAATCAGAACATCCATGTATGATGTATCACAACAATAGGAAATTTGGGTATTGAGGTCAGAACAAAGGACACAAGTTAGGAAGTCGTTTGACTGGGTGTAAGAGGTAAGGGCCGGGGGAAAATGAGATCACCAAATCCTTGAGGCATATCACACTGTGTGGGAGTCACCTGCATTCTTTTGCTGGTCTGATTTCTGTGCTCATCATGAATGGTGTTGTAAGAAACTGTTTCATTCTCTCTGGGTTTAACTTTTGGATGATTCCT